AGTGTTTCAAGACATGTGAGCGCAGATAGACCTGATTCAAAGCTAGTGTTATTTTCAACAGTGCTTTTTCTAAGTTCATGTTTTTAGGCCCTAAGAAACGTATCCCATTTAATGTTTCACTCTGTTGAAGTTCATTAATAACTTCTTTACATATTTTGACAAAAATTACAAAATGTTGATAAATAAATATTTAAAAACTGTATTAGAACCATGTTTTTTAAGGATTAAACAAATTATCACAGCGTCATGACTCCCCCTTTTTTTTTTAAGGGTTACCAGGGCAACACAGTGGGTAATTTGTGGAAGTCAAAGGAAATAAAAACTAAAAGTAAACCTAAAATCTGTAATTGTAATGTCAAGTCTGTATGGAGTGGAAACATGGAGAACAATTAAAATAATTACTTATCAACTACAAACATTCATCAAGTGGTGCCTGTGCCAAAAAGAGCCAACTAAATGCTAAAACAGAATCACTAATATTGAGTTATGGGAGAGAACCAAACACATTTGAGTGAATCAAGAGGTGAAGAAAAGGATAGGATGCACACTGTAAAAACCTCAGAAGAAAATAACTAGAATGTCTTTGCACTGTAACACATAGGGGCATACAAATAAATGCAGACTAAAAAAACACATAAAGAAGGAAGATAGAGAGCGCAGTTAAAAAGACAAGGAGGACATGGGGGTGAGCTGGCGTGGAACAGCAAAGAATAAGACAGCTTGGCAAGCGTTAGTTGAGAGCCTATACTCCATTAGGGAAAAAAGGGCAGAAGAAGAAGACCAAGACAACAGGGTTATAACTAAACTTTACTTAAAAAGACAGATCCGTATGCGTACTATGCAAAACACACATATGGTATTGCATATTTTTTTAAAAAAGCATACAGCACTGGATATTTGTTTTAATTATTTTTAATAGCTGAGAAAAAAAGCATTAATATTGCTTCCCATCTTACATGATCATTTTTTGCAAGCTTCTGATGACATTAATAATGGGCATATAGGGCTAGACCTGTATTTTATTCACCAATCAGCACTTTATGTTGATTGGTCAACATTAGGCCGACAACCTTTACTTCCCAGGACTTCACCTAATTCCCATATAAAGCTGGGCTGACCTGGGAGCCAATGTCATTTTTTTAAATAGTCTGGCTCCATCAGGACCTGAACCCATAACCTTCAGATCCGCAGGTGAAGGTCCAGCAGGTGAATGTCCAGCAGGTGAATGTCCAGCAGGTGTATGTCCAGCAGGTGAATGTCCAGCAGGTGAAGGTCCAGCAGGTGAAGGTCCAGCAGGTGAATGTCCAGCAGGTGAATGTCCAGCAGGTGAATGTCCAGCTGCTAAACCACGGCAGCTACCAATACAGTTTTAATAGCAATGTGATCTCTTTTTTATGTTTGATTGTTTTAGTATCCAGAAGCCATGAGTTGTTAACCCTTAGGCTTGGTATTATGGATATCGCAACCTTTCGGGCTTGATTCCATTGTAAATACCGTAAATCTGGGAGAAAAGTGGCTTTTCTGCCTACCCCCGGGATTGACCCCGGACCACAAGGAGTTCGTCACCTGGTCTCCGCGCAATTTGGTTTAGCCTACTGCGCCATAGAGCCGGGCCTCTTTTTATGTTAAAATATAAGATAGATCACATCAAGTTACAATTTTACAATTACATGAATGCATTATCTCTCAGTAAAAGTAAAGGGCCCTTTTCATGACAATGACATATGCGGCAACTGGGTGAGGCCCAATTTGTATAGACCAGTCAGCACTCTTTGGTGGGTAATAAGATAGCTGCAGTTCAAACTTCACACTGAACAGGTCACCGCATGCTTTATTCCTGTGCCAAAGAAATTCACACAGAATGCCCATAGCTGTCGCTTGTAAAATAACTGACACAGACTGCAGTCTCAGTATAACCTATGGCGTACACACACATTACATGCCAACACAAACAGTCCAGCAGCAGAAATGCAGTTCACTGTCAATGCAAGCAGTTAAAAAAAATAAGTGGTTGCAGATGCAATTAATTACATAAGGCACCATCAGTTCCGTGGCAACAGACGACATATTATTTCTGAATCTGCAGTTGACAGCAAATGTCGCTGATGTTGTTATTGTGGAAATGTTATATGGCTGACAGGATGCCAGGCTTTATTTCTGAAACATTTCCTTTCATTAAATTTAGGCTAAGTCAACCTGGAAGCCCTTGTCAATTATTCAGAAATTACCTTTAATACATATTAGCAGGTTTTTTTTTTCTAGAAGTAAACAATACAGAAAACCTTTTTTCAAAGCCTCAACTGTTTTGGCTCGACTATAACAGACACCATGTGGTGATTATCAGCACTTTTTTATTCTAGAAAATAGCCTTGCATATCAGAACTGGAGGCCTTTCAGCAAGCAGACAGCTGTTTACCCAATGTGCTACCGCACATCCTATTCTCTCCCATTGTTTCACAAATATTTTGTAAAAAAAATTTTTTTAACAAGAAGATATATTTGTAAATATTAGCAAATTAAAACAATCTAAACACGTATGTTCAAAACACTACAAAGTAAAGATTGTAAAACATAAAACATTTCCTATTAAATTAAAAATTAAAAATTAGTAATACAAAATTTAAAACAAAAGAAACTGCATTGCTGTAGTCAAGGCTTTTATATTTTATTTCCTGTTGTGTCCTCGCCAGAATATACATCAGCTGCAGTAGATATGTGTACCCTTGCTATCTGGGAATATTATATGATGAGACCACAATCTTTTCCACTGTGTGATTCTTGTACTGTTGTCCAAATTCCACGAAAATGACTAGGTAATGCTACCTTAATAATCATTATAATAAAGGCTTTTTTGGGGAGTACATACCCACCACATTACCTTTATCTCACTAGTGACTTAAAATGTATGCCCAAATACCTGGTTTTTTTGCTTCTTTAACTCTCGTGATACCAAGGAACTCACCACACTTTTGTTCATATCTACTCACACATTCTACTTTTCCTAACTTCTTATTCTCAGTCCAGTAAATACATGAACCTACTTTACCCTGTTTGTTATTTTAACCCCTACTCTTTCCTGAAGTTTTAAATTTAATTCCCTGGACTCAGACATATATCACTCCTAGCTGTGACTTCTTAATATAGAATGCATTGAAGCAGCAGTTGTCTGGGACTGAAAGAGCTGACTCTTTCAATCATAAGTGGATGCTACTTAAACTCATCATCACATCTTTCAGTCATAAGTGGCTGCTACTTAATCTCATCATCACATCTTTCAGTCATAAGTGGCTGCTACTTAATCTCATCATCACATCATTCAGTCATAAGTGGATGCTACTTAAACTCATTATCACATCTTTCAGTCATAAGTGGTTGCTACTTAATCTCATCATCACATCTCTCAGTCATAAGTGGATGCTACTTAAACTCATCATCACATCTTTCAGTCATAAGTGGATGCTACTTAATCTCATCATCACATCGTTCAGTCATAAGTGGATGCTACTTAAACTCATTATCACATCTTTCAGTCATAAGTGGTTGCTACTTAAACTCATCATCACATCTCTCAGTCATAAGTGGATGCTACTTAAACTCATCATCACATCTTTCAGTCATAAGTGGATGCTACTTAATCTCATCATCACATCGTTCAGTCATAAGTGAATGCTACTTAAACTCATCATCACATCATTCAGTCATAAGTGGATGATACTTAAACTCATCATCACATCTTTCAGTCATAAGTGGATGCTACTTAAACTCATCATCACATCTTTGTCATAAGTGGATGCTACTTAAACTCATCATCATATCTTTCAGTCATAAGTGGATGCTACTTAAACTCATCATCATATCTTTCAGTCATAAGTGGATGCTACTTAAACTCATCATCACCGAAGAAATTACTACTTTTCAGTATTTGGGTTTGGAGGGTTTTAAATGATAACATTAGGAGAAAGAAGGATTTATAGCAAAAACTGAGGCTGTAGGAGTTAAAGAACTAGATGTGGGATGCTCCATATGAGTCATTGGGCTCCATTTTGGGGGGTGAAACAAAGAATGCACCTGCTGCCTTCCTAACAAGCATGTCGTACATGGCGACTAATTAGGGAAGTTTCTTTTGAAGGCAGTATGCATCTTCCTGAAAGGTCAGCAACTATTAGACAGTCTGCACATAAATAAGCCAGATGTGTAAAACTGATGTGCATGCTAGAGTCAAGTTCTGGAACAAGACTAAAATCCAGAAGTGAATGAACAACAAAAACATTCTGTCGGAGTGTACAGCAGGCATGCTGTAAAAGGTGACAAACTAATGAAACTGGATGTTTTGAAAATAATCACAGTGTTGTTAGGTGCATGAAATAACTGCTGCACGATGACAGCTTTATTTCATAAAGTAAAGACAGTTATGCACATGGCGAGACACAGCACAAGCTGTGCAATACAGGAATGATTTAAAAAAAACAAAATAATAAACAGATGAATTTGGCTTTCCTGTATATAGCTTGTGCCCTGATTACTTACATTTAAAATGGGAAAACATTGTTTATCCGTCCCTTTGAAAGGGCTAAATACCTGAACGTTTGGTTTTCATTTAGTTACAATCTGCAAATCCCCACCACCTCCATCTTTTTTTCCTGAAAGTCTGCCCAGGACCCCATTCTTTTTAAATAGTTAAACTGAAGAACTTGTTATAATTTATTATTATTAGAATCACAAACATTACTGCAGTCTGAAGCTAAGGCAGTTTTTGTTTTGTTTATTTTTTTTTTTTTTTTGAGCGGCAACAAATATCATTGACCTCTTAAATGTGTTCTACAACCCTTAAGGGTCCGCAGACAACCAAATTGGAACCAGTGCTCTAGAAGTCTCAAAGCTTTCTTTTCCAACTGTCAACATATTCTACTCAGGACATCTGTTTAGCTGGTTGTGGGGTGTGCGGTACTATGGGAGGCAGAGGAGGTGTATCTCTTATGGAATGAAGAATGGGTGATGTTCTGTCCAGCAAATCGGCAACCGTGATGTCTGGGTTGGTGATTCTTAAGCTGATTGGTTTCATACCCTTTATACCCTCCTCAAGGATATCCAGCTTTCTATAGTACTGGAGAGACAAAAACGCATTCAAGAGTAAACATCACAAACAATAAATGTAATAGACATCTTTAAGAAGTGGCTAAGTTAAGTCAAGGATCCTTCTCCAGCCAAAGGCCCATCAGTTACATGGCTCTAGAACTATACTTTTATCAGTGGTAAGCGCATATGTGTAACTACTGTAACCACCACTTACACTTTCCATTGCAAAATAAAAATGCATTTGTTTTTACCACTGTTTACTATTTATTACAAATATACAACTCGACACATGTCTCATGGAGTGTAGAGCATTAAGAGTTAACTCAGAGAAAAGTTCACTTGTTGCATGCTTATGCCGTTCATAAAGAAACTGTAACATAGCTACCAGTTACCAGTACTTTGTTAATAGCTGTATGTGCATTCTCTCAGCAGTGAAGTGATGAGGAGGAAATTGTCACATGATACCGTCTCCAGTGTAATAGTTACCTGGCAGTGCTTACACGCATGAAAAGATCATGCCTTGCTACTGATTTTTATATACCAAGTTTTAATTGATGGCTGATGCGGTCAACACCACAACAGCCTCCATAACTACCCTAACACTTCCTGGTACCTATTTCAGACTGAAAGCCAAAAATCACTTTTAAAAGTATCTCTCGACACAGATTCAAACACCAGAACTTTCAAACAACACATCATGAAAAATCTTCCTCTGTCTATGTCTATCAACACACCTTGAAAGACCAGCAACTGTCAATGTTTACCAAACTACATATCATGTATGATCAAACAATACAATAATTCAATCATCAATTTTCCATGCCCATCAAACAACACACTAATTCAATCAGTTATTGCCCAACACATCAGGAAAGATTGGCTATTGTCTATCACACAAAACATCATGTATGATCAGCTAATGTCCATGTCTATCAAACATATCACAAATCAGCTACTGTGCATGCCTATCAATGTACCATGTAATCTGACATACACTATATCTGACCAATAGCACTTAACATAGCTTATATGTTTTACCACATGCATTTTTTTTTTGGCCTCTGTGAAAGTCATGCACTTATGATAGGGTCATTGTGGCTAATGCTTCATTAAAACATCTGCTGTGAAATTTCTGGGACTGACTGACCAGTGGTAGCCAACAGCTGACCATGGGCTACTCTGGGAAGTTACAAGAGATAGGCCATGGTGGTCTGTGCCTTTGTGTTTTCCCTTTGGGCTACTCTGGCAAGTTTCAAGAGATAGGCCATGGTGGTCTGTGCCTTTGTGTTTTCCCTTTGAGGTCCTCTTTACTAGTCGGTTTCTGTGCTGGGGTGATGGGTTCAATGCTGCTTGCAGCCACTTGGTAGTAGAAAATCTGGCACTGCTTTCAACAGTGGTACCGAGAGCTGACCGTTAAATTCAATAGCAAACCACTAAACATAAAATTGAAAAAAAAAAAACAGCCAAAAAATTCTGGGGTTGGTTCTGCAACATCCTGTGAAGGATACATAACTAACCTAAAAGTCTATCTCTAGTCTGTTAGTCTACAATATATACAGCAGAACCCCAGTAATCTCTTAAATGAAAAGTAGCACTCTAACCCAAACAATGCTGACTTCCACTGAGGCATACAAGTAAACAGAAATTGTACATACCCGCCCAGGCCCTTTTTTGATTCTTCCGTTTTCTCTGACAATAATTCCTTGAGACACTTCGATTTCTTCAATCTGGAGATTAAACACGGATAATCATAATAGCTAAGTTTAGGCCCGCACAAATGTTTAAGAGGTCAGGGTATAAATACATTACCTAACAATAGCATTTAAGGGGGTTTTTCCCTTTAGATAAATGGCTTTTTTCCCTTAAAGTCAGGGTATGAATACATTAACAAACAATAGCATTTAAAGGGGTTTTTCCCTAGAGAAAAGCCAAGCTGACATAAGATTTTCCTGTAAGCCTTAGTGATAGAGGTAACAGATTCACTGTATGAGTCACCCAATTCATGTTTGCTCTGGGGGATATATTCCATTCAATGCTTCATCCTGCCTGTATTTATTGATTACACCCTTCATATGTCGTTTTATATATATAAAAAAAAAATAATTGAAAAATACAAGTAAATACAATTTTAGGGAATTTTTAGTGACCGTGTAAGAACTCATTTTGTTTTCACATATATTTTTCTGAAATTCAAATGAGGTTATGCTCTTTTTTTTAAAAGTGCTCCATCACATTTCTTCATACCCAATTTAGGATGGGTTGACCTGGGAGCTCCAGAAAATTTTGAAAAATACATTAATATGAATCTGAACCAATGATCAACTGGCAAGAGTGTTGAGTTGATCTGAGTTAGGAGCCAACATCACAGCACTTGGTATATTCCCTTTCCTTGTGCATTCCAGGGAACCACTGTGGGTGGGGAAGGGGGGGGGGGGTGACAGACCCACTGCCCCCATCAAGCATATGCCCCCATCAAGCATATCATAAAAGTCAACTAATTAGGAGTTTCCTTTTAAGAAGAGTGTATCTAACTGAGTGGCAAGGAACCAACAGTCTGCTTTCAGATAAATCAGATCTGGAAAACGGATGTGCATGTACAGTTAAAACTCAAATTCTGGAACAAGCCTGATTTTACAGCCAGAAGTACTCAGTCCTCCTCGTTAGCAATCATATGTCATCACCCTGTGGGATGCAATTTTTCATTACTTTGAAGCCCCACCCTGGCTGTTGCCAGGAGCCCTAATATAACCTAACAGTTGAACAGGGTTTCCGGGACTCTCCACGGGTGATCCTTATCCGCATGGTGGCACTTCATGTCACCGGGTGTTGATCGCTTTGTGTGATGTCCTGGTGTGGTAACATTTACCTACTTACTCCTCTTCAGCAGTAAGTTAAGAGTTTTAATGCCAACAGTACCAGCAGAAGTTTGACCTTGCTTTTCCTCTGAGTGTGAACAAAAGAAAAACTGTATATCAGGCTTTCTATAGCAGAACATCTAAGCTTTGAGTGCTGGCCAGATCCCTTGCTGCACCAGTCTACCTACACTGTAATCATCTATCCCCGCTTCCACACTGTAATGATTTTTCTTCACTTCCACACTGTAATGATCTATCCATGCTTCCACACTGTAATGATCTATCCCCGCTTCCACACTGTAATGATCTATTCCCACTTCCACACTGTAATGATCTATCCCTGCTTCCACACTGTAATGATCTATCCCCGCTTCCACACTGTAATGATCTATCCATGCTTCCATACTGTAATGATCTATCCATGCTTCCACATTGTAATGATCTATTCCCGCTTCCACACTGTAATGATCTATCCATGCTTATACACTGTAATGATCTATCCTCCCTTCCACACTGTAATGATCTATCCATTCTTTCACACTGTAATGATCTATCCATGCTTCCACACTGTAATGATCTATCCCTGCTTCCACACTGTAATGATCTATACACACTTCCACACTGTAATGATCTATCCCTGCTTTCACACTGTAATGAGCTTTCTTCACTTCCACACTGTAATGATCTATCCATGCTTCCACAATGTAATGATCTATCCATGCTTCCACACTGTAATGATCTATCCCCGCTTCCAAAATGTAATGATCTATCCCCGCTTCCACACTGTAATGATCTATCCCTGCTTCCACACTGTAATAATCTATCCCCGCTTCCACACTAGTAATGATCTATCCATGCTTCCATACTGTAAGGATCTATCCATGCTTCCACACTGTAATGATCTATCCCCGCTTCCACACTGTAATGATCTATCCATGCTTATACACTGTAAAGATCTATCCTCGCTTCCACTCTGTAATGATCTATCCCTGCTTCCACACTGTAATGATCTATCCATGCTTCCACACTGTAATGATCTATCCCTGCTTCTACACTGTAATGATCTATACACACTTCCACAGAGTAATGATCTATCCCTGCTTTCACACTGTAATGATCTTTCTTCACTTCCACACTGTAATGATCTATCCATGCTTCCACAATGTAATGATCTATCCATGCTTCCACACTGTAATGATCTATCCCCGCTTCCACACTGTAATGATCTATCCCCGCTTCCACACTGTAATGATCTATACCTGCTTCCACACTGTAATGATCTATCCCCGCTTCCACACTGTAATGATCTATCCATGCTTCCATACTGTAATGATCTATCCATGCTTCCACACTGTAATGATCTATCCCCGCTTCCACACTGTAATGATCTATCCATGCTGATACACTGTAATGATCTATCCATGCTTCCACACTGTAATGATCTATCCATGCTTCCACACTGTAATGATCTATCCTCGCTTCCACACTGTAATGATCTATCCCCGCTTCCACACTGTAATGATCTATCCATGCTTATACACTGTAAAGATCTATCCTCGCTTCCACTCTGTAATGATCTATCCCTGCTGCCACACTGTAATCATCTATCCATGCTTCCACACTGTAATGATCTATCCCTGCTTCCACACTGTAATGATCTATACACACTTCCACACTGTAATGATCTATCCCTGCTTTCACACTGTAATGATCTTTCTTCACTTCCACAGTGTAATGATCGATCCATGCTTCCACAATGTAATGATCTATCCATGCTTCCACACTGTAATGATCTATCCCCGCTTCCACACTGTAATGATCTATCCCCGCTTCCATACTGTAATGATCTATCCCTGCTTCCACACTGTAATGATCTATCCCCGCTTCCACACTGTAATGATCTATCCATGCTTCCATACTGTAAGGATCTATCCATGCTTCCACACTGTAATGATCTATCCCCGCTTCCACACTGTATTGATCTATCCATGCTGATACACTGTAATGATCTATCCATGCTTCCTCACTGTAATGATCTATCCATGCTTCCACACTGTAATGATCTATCCTCGCTTCCACACTGTAATGATCTATCCCTGCTTCCACACTGTAATGATCTATCCCCGCTTCCACACTGTAATGATCTATGCTATCCACGCTTCCACACTGTAATGATCTATCCACGCTTTCACACTGTAATGAGCTATTCCCACTTTCACACTGTAATGATCTATCCTCACTTCTGCACTGTAATGATCTTTCCATGTCTCCGCACTGTAATGATCTATCCACGCTTCCACACTGTAATGATCTATCTACGCTTCTACACTGTAATGATCTTTCAATGTCTCCACACTGCAATGATCTATCCCCGTCTCCACACTGTTCAGATGATGAGGAGATGGTAACTATCACCTAAATTTCATACTCATTCTTTCACTTTGTCATATTCTCTCTCTCTCTCTCTAACATACATCTAGCTTTCCATGCTTGTACAAATTAACTTAACACAGCTATGCTCACAGAAAAACAGTTTAACCAAAATCATTAAAAAATACAAATAAACTGACATGTTAACATCAAGACATAGGTAATTACCAGTGATCGTCTCTGGGATAAATCTTCTTCAGTTCCAGCTATAGTGGACGCTTTCGGTGTCATCTGTGCATTCGGACAAAAATGAATTCAATCCAAGACTTTTGAAATAAATTCATTTTATAATATTTACACACTTAACACCTTTTTTTCCTCACTTTTTGAACTGTGAGAGATTGTCAACTCGTGTGTGTGTGTGTGTGTGCATGCGTGCGCATGTCCATGCTTGCATGGGTGTGTGTGCACACATTTAAATTAGTGAAGTAATACAGAAAGGCTCATCATGGGCAAAGTGAAAGAGATTAGGAAAGACAGAATAAGATTTTGTTGGAGCAAATGATTTCATAAACAGTGGAAAGAAAGGTGGATGTTCCTATTTCTCTGACGAGCAAAGTGTGTGGAATACAGTGTTGTTGAAAAAATACCACAGTGACAGAATGGTAGTAAACTGCATCATAAACCTTTTCCCCAGTCCCATTTGGGAAGAAAAAAAAGAATACACTTACTGCCCCTTGGTACGCATGTTATAAAAGGTGACCAGTTAAGGCTGCAAACGACAACACAACAGGCTTACTACTTTTTTTAGGGTGAGTGTAGAAGACGACGAAGAAGAAACAACAGTGTCAGGTTTTACTTCAGAAATATTAAGAAACAGGAAAAGACAAATTTCACTGAGGAAGTTTCAGTAAGACACAAACACCTAGCGAGTCTTAGAGTTGAGAGGTGATAAGAGACAGAAAATACAACAAACGTAGAAGACAACTACCTGAAGTTTTGATGCAAGAGGATTCCCCTTCCAAACAATAATATGTTCCCTCCCATTTCCCGTTTAAAGAATACAACTATGGAACGGATGAGTTAAAATACTACACAGAAACAGAATGGTTAAATGTCATAGAACATTGGGGCACAAGAAATTAGGAAGCGGATGCCATGTGAAGAAAAACTAATAAACATATAGACGGCTGCTGGATACTGTTGCGATTATCCATCTTGATGATGCTATATTATGCTATCGGTAGCAAGACTCGCTCATGTTTGGAAAAGTAATCTTCCATCAGAGCCCAGGCTTTTAGTAACACAGTTGCCACTGCAAGTAAATAACATGTTTCTTCTCAGACAATCAACTCTTAACCTATATGTAATCATTTTGTCCTTTAACGCTAATCATGTAATAATTGTCCTAGTCAATATAAACTGGTGTGTGTATGTCCTCACAAATTCACTTCAATACCTGTATCATTCATCTACTATTTGCTTACAAGTTTATACTAAAGTAGAGAACCATCCTGAACATCTTCTATTCCCTTTAATTCACCACAGAGGATGTCTATAGGGATTCTACCATCCTCCATCCTCTCATGTTCTTAATACACTTGTCTCCATAGTGAGGCACATACACCACTTGGAGGTAACAAGTTAGAATCTCGGCATAGTAACTATAGCTTCAGGATATTTATTTTGTTTTGTGTGCCCTTCTGTCTCTCTGCTTATTTCTATGACTGCCAATCAATACATTGTCTGTTTGTTTATTGTGTTTGTACGACCTCAAGGGTTCTTCCTCTGTTTAGTTATGTCCCACTTCCAAGTGTTTCCTGGCCATCTGAGCTTTCAAAGAATGAGCACTAAGAGCCCTATTGTGCTACCTGCTCTCTCCCATTACCTTAGTCTCTGTGATCTTGCCACTTAATGCTGAATATTTGTCATAGGCATCACATGTGGACGGATCCCTTTGAGCTGTTTATCCTGGTATGAAAAAGTCAACCACATTTCACTACTGTAAACGTTAGATACTGAGAGTGTTAAAAATCAAATAGTAAAATTATACAAACCGCTGTTTTTGTGGGAGTCTTATCAGCTGTCAACTGAGAGATTCTGCTCAGAGTTCCTGAAATAAATTGTGTCGTAAACATAAAGGTAAAAGGTAATATATCTAAATATGAATATGTCAGAAAAGGGATTCATTCCATGCCACAGGTGCATCAGACATGTTGCTAGACCCTCAATTTTATAGAACAACTGGCACTCGATGGGCGATTTGCTAAACATCACAATGCCACTTTTACTTCCTAGGGAGTTTTCTGATTCCCATTTTAAACTAGGTAGATCTCTGAGACAAAATCATTCTTTTTTAACTTCTTCTTCTTCTTCTTCTGTTTGGTTTCATATCCTCAGATGAGACCATCAGGTGGGTTGCCGCCATGAACTCGCATGTCTGTAGCAGGTCCTTCATGGTTCCCCATAGCTTGCTCTGCACACTTTTCTCTTGAGGTCAGGTGTCTTAATCCTGGACCGCTGATGTGCAGAGATAGCAAGAGTAGTTTGGTGTGGATTCCTTTGGGGCTCGGCTGTAGTCCACAGGAGCAGACACATAACTGTGTATGTATCTAAGCATACTCATTAACTGTAGATTGTGTTGATGTCCGTTTCCATTTCTGGGTGCCCACGCCATTCAGGCCAACATGTCCCCCTTCAGTGGGGGGAGTTACGGAGTCTCCTTCTATCCCTGTCCTCGTCCATCCAAACACTGCCTGCCAGAAATCAGAGGTTGTGGGAGTTTTTCCTTCTCCGCCTGTGATTTTCCAGGGTGGGCTCCCTGGGTGTGATCTTGGTGGGGATCGGGACATGTCCACGCGCCGGTGGGTCCTGCATCGGTTGAACCTTGGGGGAGGGGGGTGTCACACTCCGCTGAGGGTTTCTGTCTGGCTTGCCATAGCCTGGCATTTTACCCCTTCAGGCATTGTCTGGGATCCATTTTGTTAGCGATGGAGACTCGCTATGAACCGGAGAAATGTCAGTTACAACAGGTAGCACCACGTGTAGGTACTGTTGATTTAACTAGCAGGGGCTGTGAGTTAGGCGTAGGTATTTCCCATTTTTTAGGTGGGACCTGTACATACCAATCCTTGCTACCCATTCTTTTAAAATACAATTCATCACAATGCAGATTCAAACCCAAGATGTTTTGGCAAGGATGTAAGTTTAGTCACTATACTACTGCTGCTTCTTGAAAAAAAACAAAAAATATACACACACACACACACACTAGCAGTACCTAGCAGTACCCGCCATGCTTTGCTGTCTCTCAGTCTGGCGAACGGAAAAAGAAAAAAATAGAACACGCAGGTGTCTAATATGGTTAATATCACAATCGTTGTCTGCGCAGATGTACAGTCTGATTCACCGACTCTAGAACGTGCAGCACGTAAGTGTTCTTATACTTAAAAAAAAACAAAAAACGCACAAGTAAAGATCCCTTTTCACACCTTTAGGCGTATCGGGTAGATGGGAAGAGCACCCATATTTTTACAGACCATCAGCACTCGGTGGGTTATGTGGATAGCATTACGCCGGCTGTATTTACTTTCCCAGGACAGCCCATCCTGGTACCCATTTTAGGCTGGATCAACCTGCGATGCCCCATACCATGATAAAAATCCACGCAGCCAGCAGTGGGTTTCGATCGCGGTACGTTGGATTACAAGTCGTACTCGCAACGCCTAAGCCACGGACGCCGCATTTTTATACTAGTGGTGGTTTAAAGTGTATTTTTAGGACTTAAAAAGATAGTTCTTTGTGTATGTACCACATGCTATAGTTATTTTTTTTTCAACAGCTGAAAGTAAAGCCTACTACTGTATTTCTAAATCACCGACAGAAACACCCCAAAAAAAATGAGTATAGCAGAGGAAGCGTTATTAAAAAATAAATAATTTAAAAAATAAGAACTTTAAAAGCATTATTAAGCTAATTTTAAAAAATCATGTTTTAAGCTCTCTCAATTAACAGTGACTGTTATCTCACATGAAATATTCATTTAAACTTGTTTCAACAAATTTCTAACTAATGCAATGAGGAGGTAGTTTATCAGAAATCTTACTGGTTTTTTTTTTAAACAGTTGAAAGTAAAGCTTATTACTGTATGTCTGGATCACCAACAGACACACTTTGATGAGGGATATATCTAATGTGTTCCTCACGCAAAGGGTACTACGACAGCAAAGTCAGCTGGCAAAAATAGAATAAACATCAGAGAAAAGACAATTTTCTTCAGTGTCAGTTAGTTCTAGTGCTATTCCCCTTATTATTTAGGAACATAGCTACAAAATTACAGGCAAATTGAGCGTTAGATAAACTTTGTTTTGCATAAAGATACTTATTGTTTTAGGAGTCAGTTTGCTTTACCAAACATTAGTGCTCTGTAATGATGCTTCAAAAGATTCTCTGGAACAAAATCTAATGTATAGATTGAGTTTATATTTCACTTATACATTACTAAGTGGTTCATATTCATTTGATTCATTTCAACCATTTTTTCTTGAGCGCCATGGGGGTAAGTGGAAATTGTTTTATTTTATTTTACTAATTTTTGTAAACATACTGTCTGTTTATTTACTAATTTTTAATTACAAACGCAATTATTTGTTGTAGCTCTATGCCAAAATTATTCCTCAACAATCCCTGGTCACTTTGATGTTTAATATGTGTATGTTGCGCGGCAATTGAATTAGTATGGTCCGTTTTAATGTGTTACACTTGTGAAATAAAAAATTGCATCACCACCCCTTGGGTCTCTGAGGCTAAGCCCCCTGGGACTCAAAGAGTTAAGCTCTCTCAATTAACAGTGACTGTTATCTCACATGAAATATTCATTATAACTTTTTCAATTTATTTCTAACTAATGCAATGAGGAAGTAGTTTATCAGAAATCTTGCTTAAAATGATTGAACAACCAGCCATGTGTATTGAACCACCATTTCAAAACACTGTTCAACTAAAAAAAAATAATTTCTTCTGCTGATAACACTACTCTGTTTTTAAGTGCACAGAATTCAACCAGCAGATGACAGCCATATTGCTTCACGGCATACTGCTTCCCAATTGTCTGTGTGAGACCTTTTTTGATGACATCATGTGTTTCCTTCGGCAGATTCGCTCTACACAAAAACTGTAGTGAGACTTCACAAACAACCTCTATTTAGGAAGACATTACACAAATTAAGCAAATAACTGATTTTTGAAAAGTTATGCAATGACACAAAGAGAACCGGTGATAATCTGTAAATTTTATACTGGGACAGTTACATGAGTGTTAGTTACTTTGTGAGAATAACAACCTGGCATAAAAATGTACTACCAACCTCTATTAGGAGAATCTGTTTGAAGTAGCGACATTTTAGATTTATGTTTAGTATTTGCCTGATTTTTCTTCTTCGTTTCTATTTTCACTTCACTGTCCCTGGTAGTTTCAGTTATTGTAAACTTGACATTCACTCTGTGGAAGAAGAGGGATCAGCCATGAAGACAATGAAACTTGACTTGTAAGTGATAACCCAATCAATGCAATTCAGTAATTCCTTGAACTGTGTCTATTCAGAGTAGTTCTAAAGCAGCAAATATATGAGTCTGAAGAAGTTAAAACAGTTAGTTAGTTGAGAAAAGAACTGCGTGCTCTGTTTTTTAAACGATATTTTCCTATCACATTCAACTTCTGCGTCATTTGGGAAATGTCTCCCGCCAAAGTAGGTTTTCAGTGGACCAAATATTTCAATCACTCATGCATTATTTTTTTAAGCTGAACCATGTGAGCACCCTGTTGTAGCTTCTACAGAGTCAACCGTTACTCCCCTGTCACCTCTAACCATCTCCTCCACCCACTGCACAGATTCATCTGCTGCAATCTCAACAAAACGACCAGATTGGACTTCATCAACAATTTAACAGGGTCTTTGAGTAAGTTTTTTTGTTTTTTTTTAACACAGCTTGCTCTGCTTTATGGGATGAACATTTGTCAGCATACATAGGAATCATTTCTTTATGAATGTTCTTTGCAGGTAGCTCTTTTGCACTTTAAAAAAAAGCACAAAAGCATTTTTTTTTTCGAGGGTACAGTGTTCTTTGAGGGTACACTCCGTAAGTACAGTCACCGATTTGTTTCTGTGTTGCGAATGCGGCTGCCACCTAACAAATGGAGACATAAAGTTCAATGTTGCTGTCACCTAATAACCTTTAGAAACCACCAACTACATTTTCCTGCCACCCTATAACCATCTGTGACTTACTTATTGACTTTCCTTCGTATTAGGCAATTTTATTTTCAGCAGTCTGCCATATTGTGTGTGTGTGTGTGTGTGTGTGTATGTGTGTGTGTGTGTGGTGGGGGAGGGGGGGGGGGTAAAACTTGTAAATGGTATGGCTGTCTGTAGTAGGTGGTTGCCTTTTACTGAGTTATGAGTTACCCCTGGGTTATCCTTACGGCACTTTGGACACTTCATAAGTGCTCTATTCCTTGACATAAACAGCAGCATCCCCTCTTAAATAGTGCCTGCCCAGTGATGGTTAATAAGACCTCTCCTTTGTCTTACAAGTAATAAGAAGAAACTCCACAGGGGAGCATGTACAGCAGGAGTCTACCAATTATCAGTAGAAGTAATCTCTCGTCGACAAATGTTTCGGCCCACGAGCTCCTAGACATTTTTAGAGAGTGGGCCCACCTGAGTTTATGTAAAGTAAAGTAAAGAACTCTTTTCACCGCCTTCACGCATATTGGGCAAATAAGGCTAGACCTATTTGTCTCTCACCTGTCATAAAATCAGATTATCACAAATATTATAAAAGTACACTTATGATTTATTACAATTAATGCTAATGAATTATAATCTCATTATATATTGATTACATATAATCTCTGCAAAATTACAGCCCAAAATTAATATCCAATATCTGGGATTACTGATTTAAGAATCGACATCATAGCACACCGGGCATACCCATAGATGCTCCGTCTCCTACAGCAAATGACGTAAGGTGTAGATGCTAAGTGTTCCTGTAGCACACTGATCATACACACGCTGATCTCTTCCACTTATTCGTCCCTCCTTACCGGATCCACACTTAATTCCTCGTTCACACATTCTTTCGTATGTTCTTTCATCTAATCTCATGTCTTCTGCCAAAAGTCGTTCATACATGAAAATCTCCATTGTCCAGTACGAGTGTTCCCGTAGCTTTCGCAATAAGTGGGATAATAAATAAAACTAAATGTATCTCAACTATAACCCAAAAGGGCTGAAGAGGATATCTATGATAAAAAAAACTACTGCTACTGCTCCCCTACCACTACCATTACTGCTACTACTACTACCAGTATTACTCATCATCATGTGCCCTGTCAACTAGCCTAGGCACACAGGACTCTCCCTGGTCTTCCACCACAGGCCTTGGCTTATTCCTGTTTGTCCCTTGGCACCTCCATGTTTCTCGTTACATCCTTTCTCCTGAAAGCGTGGGTAATCTGTAACATCTCTGCCATCAGTCAACCAGTTCATTCTCATCTCTGGTCAGCTGGCCTCACTTCATCTAACGGAAAGATTGACGTCTGTACCTCCTATTCTAATCTATATTTCTAGCGTTATAACTGTCATGCCACTTAATAATAAACTTCCCCGTGTGGGTTCCAGGGCCCTGTTATAGGGAAAAAAAGAACAGACCCAGTGCCTACCCAAAAGCATTTCGTAAGAGTCGACTAGTTGGGAGTTTTCTTCGAAGTCGGAGTTCATTTGCCTGAGAGGCAAGGAACCAGCAGTCTGCATACAAATGAGTTAGATCTGTAAAATGGATGCACATGTAACCCTCAGGTTCTGGAACCGGACTGCAGTCCAAAAGTGGACGAACAACCAAAACTTTCGGCCAGAGTTTACAGTTGGTAAACACGAAGAAAAAGAAGATAATAAACTGGCATCTCTTCTATGTATCTATGATCACTGGCTTTGAAGCTGACAACACTTTCAAGTCTTAATTGCTTCCACCGGGAAACTGGACTACTTCCGAGCAGTCTGTGTTACCATAATTAATCCCAAGAATACAGGCCTCCCTCATTGTCACCCCACATCTTCTCCTCTCACTACACACATCCTTCAGTGTCAGGCCCTGTGTTGTGATGTAACTTCCCTACATCATCCAATGTATTTATTACTTGAAGCTGTCCAGTAATAATATGAACTTACTTATGGGTTGGTAGCTTCTCTGGGTCCAGCTTTGATACAGCTAACACATTGCCAAATTCATCACACAATGCATCTTTTCCCCCTACAGGGCGTACTAACATGGTCTGAAATTTAAAAATATATGTTAAAATCACCATTAATTGCATCATGTGAGCTGATAGACTGCAATAGTCGAGGCAGTTGAGAAAATAGCCGATAATAGACAGACATAAATTGTGAACACAAAAGAGCTGCATGGAAACAGACCGGGGGGCAGAATAAGAAATCATTGGAGAGATAATATTCAAGCAGAGCTACAAACACTCAAGAGTCAGCTACTGAAAAAAAGAAGGCGAATCACAGAGTTGAATGTAGGCAGGCAATATTATAACAATGATCCTCAATGGCTTGTAATGCTGAAGAAGAAGAAGAAGATATTCTTCACAATCCATTATCAATCCATAACTTTTCAAATCATTCCATGATTTCAACATGTTAATTAACTAATCCACTGGTTTGGTCAGGTCATGAAATGAATTCATATTAGTCCTTGTTGCAAATTATTCTCCAGGAAATAGCTGACATCAAATGGTAAAAATACTAACTAAAGTTAGGTCCACTAAAGAGCAATGCCAGTCCAAAGGTCTTGGGTTCATATCTGGGTCAAGGTTAACAGGGTTTTTTTTTTTTTATTGACCTTGGCAGCCTAGTTTACCTAGCCAAAAATGGGTATCAGGTAATGTCCTGGTGGCTGGCATGATGTTTACCACAGCATTAGAAAATCTGTGAGGTCAAAAGAAATTAAAACAATTACTAAACTTAACATTTTTAATTTGAATGTAAAAATCAGTACTGCTGTATGCAGCAGAAACAGGGAGAACAAAAAAGACAATTACTAATAAACTACAAACATTCATTAACTAATGCCTGTGCAGAATAGAGGGAATTAAATGGTATGATAGAATCACCAACGTAGAGCTTTAGTTTAAAAAAAAAAAGTTTCAGTGGCCTAAGAGGTGAAGAAAAGGCGCTGACATTGGATAGGACACATGCTTAGAAATCCTGAGAACAATATAACTAAGATGTCTTTTCACTGGAACCCACAGGGGCATAGGAATAAAGGAGGACCCAAGAACACATGGAGAAGGGAGCTAGAGAGTGATGTTAAAAAAACAGGGAGGACACAGGAAGAGCTGCATGCGATAGCGAAGGATAGAAAGACTTGGCGTGAGTTGATTGAGAGCCTACATTTCATTGGGGGCTAGAAAGACATAAGAAGACTATATGCTGAGTTCTTCTTCTCTTCCACCTAGTACCTCAGTTAAGCATTGGTGGGAGATGTAATGTTCATTGATGAGCTTTGTCAAGAGCACTATTAAGACTGATATTTATTTCTGTAAGGTTGTTCTTAATGCTATCATTTTGAGAAGGAATGAACTTAAAAACTTGGTAACAATAGAAACAATTTATGAAACAGATCAAAAGAAAGGCAAAGAGTTTAATACCTGGATAGCTTTGCTAATTAGAAAAATTATACAAAAACAGTCTAGTTTTTTAGTCATGTTTTGAAAAGGTATGGACCCAAAAACTTGGTTGCAAAAGGGAAAAATTGATGGAAAGAGAGAAAAAAGAAAAGCAGAGAGTTCAAACCTGGATAGCTTAGCTGATTAGACAAATTAGACAATTAGACTGCTTGTGTTTTCTAAGACATGTTGTGAAAAGGAAAGGACTCAAAAACTTGGTAATGACAGGCAAGATTGACAAAAACAGATTGCAAAATATTACCTTAATATAACTGCTGCAAGTTACCGGCTTCTTCTGAAGAGATTCCACTGTGCCCACTGATTCTTCCTTTTCCCCAATATATTTCTTTGCTTCAGGGTCACCTCTGGACTTCTTTCTCATACTAATTTTTCTGTTCTGAGCATTGTACTTTACTTCCAGAAGTTTACCGCCAGAATCTTCGCTGTCTTTGTCAGCCACATCCAGTTTAACAGTTTTTGTAGACTTCGATCCTGTTTCTTCTGTGTCAGAAACCATATCTGGCAATTCTGTAGGTGTTTTTGGTTCATCTTGCACCTGTTTCACACCGCTCCTGTTGGCACAGAATTAATAAGCTGTCATTTATATAGAATGAAAACAAAAAAAGATTTAAAGTCGAGAGGATCATTGCACTGCACTGGAGTTAATCATAGATGGTTCAGTCTCTCTATGTAACACACATTTGTGGTTTGAAAAATGAGTGCTTGGAAGAGCCGAATATAAAACGTGCCTGCATTCCCAGTTTGTAACCATTTGAAAAAAAAGTTTGCTGGTTCATTCGTTTTGTAGAACAGTGAGCCCCTTGCCAAGAGAATCACACAAAGCATAAAGCATGAGCTCCTTAGCTTCAGCATTGATGCCTAGGAACAAGGCAACAAGCATATGACCTTCAGAGCATGCAACAAATTACTTGACGCACAAGCAGATACTTCGGAGTACTAAAGTGAATCTTATCAGAACTATTTTTTGGCCAACTCTATGCTATCAATGCCAAACGTTGACACTTACATCCTCCAATGAACGTAAAATTTTAACAACAGAGAGGAAATGCTTTAGAAGAGCTGCAGGAGTTTCAAGGAAAGACAGAATACGAAATCATGAAATCAGACGAATGCTAGGAATAAAGCCAGTCTTACAGGTTATCAAAGAACAACAGTTGAAGTGGTTTGGACACCTAACAAGAATGCCCTGGTACAGCGAGAGACAATAAAACGTTACAACGGGTATAGAGCGAGTGGAAGACCTCGGAAAATATGGACTGATGGCATTAAGAACAGCCTTACAGAAATGAACATCAGTCTTAATAGTGCTCTTGACAGAGCTCATCAACGAACATTACATCTCCCCCCGACACTTCACTTAGGTACAAGGTGGAAGAGAAGAAGAACAACAGCAACAAATTACTTAACTGCTTATCCATGCAGACCCTAAAATATTACGTGTATGTCTTCAACTAATAAAATTATTGAATCAAGACAGCTCAAGAGCTTAAAGGGTGCTGCAAGAGGTGTAGAGACAAGTACTATAAGGAAAAAACTGAAGGAAAGAAGTAGTAGCAATGTTCACATCCATAACATCGTGTAAACTCTCTGGACTGTGACAAAAATATTTAATTTCCTTTACATTTCCGATTCACAATTTAAAAAAAAAAATTTTATTGACATATTTAATTATGTCTTTCAAATACTGTGATATTTAAATTTTTATTAATTGAATTATTATCCTGTTTATATTCTTTTTAGGTAATGAATTGACTCCTTCCCAGGTGATGTGTTGAGAGGCAGAAAAGGTGCATGGGGTTTACTACGAAAGTGAATAAATGACACTTTGTTCAACAAAGTCTAGATTAGATTACTACAACATCTAGTTAGAGAATGGAGGCACAGGCAGTCACAGCAGCTTTCTGCTGACCTGGGAAGGTGCTGCACACATAAGTTGTGATTGTAACGGACTTATAAAACATATTGAGAAAGGCGGAGACAGGCATGCTCTTTGCAGTATGGCTGTGGCAAGCATCTCTTCAGAGTTCCTGGGTAGTTAACATTTCTACTGGTTTTTTTTCTCCGGGTCATGCAGAGGTGTTGGGAAATGAACAGGCAGACAGTTTGGTTGGTTCGGCACCAACTGGTGGTGAACTTATGTATCACAAGCTAGATGTGGTCAAAGCCCTTTAGCAGCAAGTGAACAATGCAGAGATAAACAAAGATAATTAAGGTCTGGAGAGAATGGTAAAGCTAGGAGTGATCAGGAGATCTGGTCGACACTCTACACTTAGAGCATAGGCAAGGCGGACATTTAATCAAACTGCTTCGGAATCAGAACAGGAACTCTTCACTGGCTGCATATCTTGGGTGCAACAGCAATCAGCACATTGTCAAGTATCCAAGGATACACTTATCGCTTCAACACATACAACTTTCAGGAAAACTCAACGATGTAATGTCCCCCATACACAACATTTATTGTCACAACACAGAGGGTAGTCACAATCCCTCACACATACAATTCAAGTGAAGTGATGTGGACATATATCCTGGCTAACTTGTAGATCTAGCCCATCCTTTCGCTCACTTCTCAAGTATAGCGTCGCTCTCCTGGACAGCCTGCACTCGCTGCTACTACATACGAGCTGACTGCTATGGTTTGTAGGTCTACAGCGTCTCGCAATTCCGACTCGTTGTACATATGAACAGGAAATCTCTCCTATCAACAGGACCTCTGCTCTACACTGAGCAGAAACAACGGCTGACTGGAAATGGGCTCAACAACACTAGTTCTCCAGCATGTGCACATTGCACATCAGCCTGTTGAAGGATTCTGATGACCAACAGGACTCCTAGCACAAGTTTCCTCTAGCACACAGCTATCGCCGGCATCCCCGCTGTCTTGTTTCACTAGTGAGCTTATGCCTCCCTACATCGTCACCCACAACAACTACTCTTGAGTGTCCAGTCCTCGTGGACTGACTCTGCCGTCTGGACTCTTTTTCTTCAACCGTACCGCAAACGAGACTCTTGGCTCTCAGACCTCACTGTCTGACACATACTGCGGTACTCTGTCTGTCTGCCTTCTGGTCCACTCAACCACAGTATATACCCTTGCCTGCCTCTTGTAGGCGGCTCAGGCCCCACGAGAAGCACGCTAGCATGCATCTCATCCATCTTCCATGCATTAGCGGCTATCTTGTAAAAGTCATGGTATCGGCTCCATCCCGTGTCAAGTCCCTTCCCTCTAGCCAAAATGTTGACTCAACCAACAAATATTTCCTGGCTTGAGTAAACACTGGGCAACATACTGATACAGGTAACCGACCATTCTCGTTGACTCCCGACAAAAACATTCTCATTATGTTGTCCTGCCCCAAGGTTACAACTCACATCAATCAGCATGCAACAGGAGGATGGAGCAATTATGGGAATAGACTGAAAATGTGATGACAGTTTTTAGCTCAACACTCAAAACTGCTTTAAAGTTAACTGATTTACTGTTACTGAATTTAGTCTAGCATCCATTCTGAGATGGTTATGTTCATGAAACTTAACATAATAGCAATATTTATTAATTAAAATAAGTCCTCATGTAAAATTTTATTTAAAAAAAAAAAAAACTAAGTATAGTGGATAGTTGTGGAAGGACACATTTATAAATGTAACAATGGTGATCATATTGATTTAATAAGTTACGCATGTGAACTGTCCTGATAGCACAAAGTCAGAAGAAACTATAGAAAATTATATACACAATGAAAATAGAAAGTGCAAAGATGAGGTCTTAGCTTGAATAACAGGCATGAGAAAATTAATGAATTCAGCACTGATATAACAGCACATGCTCTGTCTCCTTCCTAAGCAGCTAATGAACATGTCCCATGCTAACACTACCAGCTACAACATTACTAAAATTTAAATAATAGGAAGACAGAAGTAATGGTAATATCAAAGAAATGGATTATGCCTAAACCTACAAGGAAAAAAAAAACCATGAGTCTTCTTCTTTGTGTTCACAGGCTGTAAACTCCTTCAAGAAATTAGGGTTGTTTGTCCACTTCTGGCCTTTAGGCTCGTTCCAGAACTAGTGTTTGCATGCATATCCATTTTACAGATCTGGATTATTTATATATGTATGGCTGCTCGCCTCTCAGGCAGATGCATTATTCCTCTTTTGGATATTTTTTTCTTCAGATATGCTGGTGTGTTGGGGAAAAAAAAAACCAATATAGATTAGCTGATTCTTTGACACTTGGTTGTAAACTATCCATGACAAGTAAAGTAAGTAAATTAAAGATCCTTTTTCACACCTTTAGGCATATCTGGTATATGGAAGAGCGCCCATATTTTTACAGACCATCGGCACTAGGTGGGTAATGTGGCCAGCATTATGTCCGCCGTCTTTACTTTCCCAGGACAGCCATACTGGTACCCATTTTAAGCTGGGTCGACCTGCGATGCCCCATACCATGATAAAAATCCACACAGTCAGCAGTGGATTTTGATCGCAGTACGTTATATGTATGACAAGCTAGATGTAATAAGGGTCTCTTTTGGGAGCGTTAGAACATAATGGAGGCACAAATAGCTCATCACAGTCTGAGGAGAATGGTGCTGCAAGGCGTAATCAGTGGACCTGTCTGATCCTCAACACTCAGGGGAAAGCAAGATGGATATACAATCAGACTGTTACTGGAACCATCAGATTAAGAACTCTGTGCTTGCTGCTGAAGATGGGGATATGATGCTTATAGGAATGTACCAAGTGCTGCAATGCAGATTCTTAATTCAAGATTCAAATAATGAACATCAGAAATAATCATGTAACATACAACATACTCTGCAGTGGGTTCATCTTCTGGAACTTCTGATATTTTCTTTAGTGGTTCTGGTTGAACAGATACAATAGTTTTAGGCATTGAACCTTGGGCCCAACAGTCAGTTTCAGCAGGTTCAGGTTCTGAAAGAAAAATGTGAAATTTCTGGAAAAAACAACAACTTTGGAATAGACTAAAAAAAATATATACTTAACAATATATGTCTGTCTGTCATCTGCATGTATGTCTCTTGATCTGTCCATGTCCATCTGTTGTCTGTAGCAATGTCTATCTGTCTGTCCATATGATTCACTCTTTCTCACTCTCTCACACACCTACCCCCTCCCACCCACCCACCCACGCATGCACACACACACACACACACACACACACACACACACACACACACACAAAGAGTGAGGGAAAATGGAACTATGTGATAGTTTTACATAATTATGTACAAAACACCCTACCTTATTCTTCACAATGGATTCACTAATATATGTAGTCATTACAAATGAACAGAAAGATGTTGTAATAACACGATTACTATATTGTGAAAATTCTTTTTCTGTGAAAAATTATACACTTTCCCATGCTTACCCTTAGGAAGGGTACACAGGTGAGTTATGAAACATTGTTTCTAATTAAAATGTTGGCTTAAATATCTAATGTTTATGTCTTATTATCTATACTGATGGATCAGCATTTAAAGCTACCATTAAAGCAGGTTACGGAATCTACATAGGTTATCCCGATGGATCTGTTGAAGAGATTTTTGATGCATGCGGGGAATTCTGTTCAAACTATGAAGCTGAAATAATTGCACTGGAAACAGCAGTATACCACCTAAAGACTGTAATGGATGTTTACCCCTCAAAGGTCCAAAATATTGTCATCTTCACAGATTCAATGTCTGCCCTTCAAGCTCTGGAGGGCAATGAACGCTGCAGAACTGACATAGCCAAGATAATCCTGGATGCCGATCAGCTTATTACCTCATACAACATCAGAATAGTGATGCAGTGGATTCCAGGTCACTCCGGCACACCAGGTAATGACAGAGCTGACAGATTGGCAAAGAAAGGAGCAACACAAGAACAACCACCTACAGCGACAACCCTCCAGACAGCAAAAACACTGATAAGAGCTATAAACAAAGAGACTTGGTTGAACAGATGGGCCATGGGAGACACTGGAAGAGAGGTTTATAGACATATGTCTGGCCCTGATCCTAATGACAGCATTAACCATCTAACAAGAAGGGACCAGGCCACCATCTTCAGACTTAGAACGCAACATACTCCACTCAATGGACACCTAAACAGAATACAGCCACAACACTCCCCAGAGTGCCAGCTATGTAACTACCCCTACGAAACTGTTGAACACCATCTCTTTGAGTGCCCAAAACTCAGTGAGACAAGAAGAACGCTACTCCCTCCGAGACCAGACAAGTGGAACACCTTGTACGGAGGAAAAGAACAGCTTGTGAAAACATGCAAATTCCACTACATGGCATTGGGCCAAAGGGCGAAAGCTCATGCGCCGCTGGATCGATAACAACAACATATTATATTTGGTGTTAATGGTTATTGTCCCATGTCCTTTTTTATGGCAGTGAATTTTGGAATGTGAACAAACACATTAGTCAAAGCTCGAGTAGACAGAGGTTTGGTTCTTAAGACACATGTTGTGAACAGCTCAAATAGCTGATAACTACAAATGTTTTCGAGACAAAAATCTAATGAAAGTAGAACATGAGTTCTTTGATCAGAAGATGAGAGGAGGCCTTGGAGTACTTCACAACAACGAAAGATCAGCATAGAAGAGACAGTTGCAGACTAAAAGGTATGATGCTGGATTGTCTAAGAGGGCGGCATAAAGGAATATCATAAACTTAAACCAAGGACAGATTTATGGAAAGACAAGACTGCTTATGTCATCTATGATTATGTCCATGATATTAAAGATGGCCATTGACAAAAACTCCTATTCATATGTCTTCATAAGCCACATGAGGGCAACAGCATGCAATTATCAAGGTAGTTTCATGCAATTATCCAGTTACTTTTTCGCATAATAGCAACATCATACATTATCTAGTTAATTTTCTGTCATGTTGATTAATTCTTTCCCTGTGAGGGTTCCAAGGCCCAATTTTGGGTTGATGGAATGGGGGAATGGTATAGATGATGTTCCCTAACAAGCAACTGTAATCTGATTGTTTTAATTTTTTCCCTCAAAGTCACAGTGCATCTGCCAGACAGGCAAGGAACCAACAGTCTGCATACAAATCAGTGCACATAAAACTCAAGTTCTGGAACAAGACCAAAGTACAGAAGTGGATCAACAGCTAAAACTTTCCATTGGAGTTTACAGTCAGTGAGTGTTAAGAAGTGAATTGATCATGGTCTTACTGTTCCAGAAACAACTGATTGATTGATCAGTTTGTCCCTCCACACTGCTGCCAAAGGGTTTACTATACCAATCTGAGATAAGGCAAAATTAATCCAGATGGCCGATTAACAAGGCAGATCCCAGATAGTCTGTTGAACCTTTGAATAATTTAGGCACCAGTAACAGTTACACCAGCCAGGTGTAACCTGCACCTATTTGGGTAAGGACAATGGAAGGAATTCTTGTTTCAATTATTTATATAGTAAAGTAAAGATCCCTCCCCCTCCCTTTTAGGCACATGGAAAGAGCACCCATATTTTTATAGAATAATCATCACTAGGTGGGTAATGTGGTCAGTATTACGCCGGCTGTCTGTACTTCCCTAGGACACAATCCTTTACCCAATTTAAGCTCGGTCGACCTGCAACGCCACATACCATGATATAAATCCAGGCAGCCAGCAGTGGGTTTCAATCGCAGTACGTTTGAATTAAGAGTCAGACTTGCAACGCCTAAGCCACTGATGCCACTATTTTATATATAGTTTGAGCTTTTTTGATTCTCTCTTATATTCAGTAATTAATTCTGGGTCTTCTGAGAGCTCAGTGGTGAAATACTAGCTTGTCTCCCTGAAGATCCAGGCTCCAAAATTACTCAATATCAGATGTGTATAATCAAATTCTCCTTTCAGGTTGACCCCGTCACAAGCTGACTAGTTCTATTTTTCATTTTGTTTTATATGTTTTCCTGTATCGCATCAGGGGTATCTACAGTAACAACTGCCTACAGGTAGTGAGCATGGGATTATAGGACAGCATGGCTAGGTGTGGGCACCTTTTTTGTTTTTTGAGACAACAGTTTTATGTTATGCTATGAGGAGGCATAGGACAAAGCCCGTAGTGATGTTGAGCGTGACTAGTAAGACCTGGTTCATGCGAATTTGAAATCAACTTTACAATATGCCTAAAGACATGGAAAGAGCACATTTTCTTTTACTACTATACACCCAATGCAACAAAAAGGCACAGAAAAGGGGCCATTAACACTTCTGCCCAGGAAAAATAATTTTTAAAAAAAAAAGATCTTTTTCTGAATTGTGCTAATTTGAAAGGCAACCTAGGAAACAAGAGTTAGACAAGAGAAAGCAACAACAAAAATGTGATGTCTTCCTAAGTTTCTTTTTTTCAATCTATGAAGTTTAAATCTATGACCACTGTGCAGACAGGCACGCCAGCTGACATCTGTGTCGTTGTTGCCCCCGAGTCACTTAAAAAAAATCATATTTTCATATTTACCCACAAAATAAATCAGCTTTATATTAAATAAGGCAATTACTAAATACAAATAGCGCAATGAATTATCTGCTTTCATTTTTTTTACCATAAAAAATAAAGTTTTCTTGAAATAGCAAGTAGGGCAAAGTGACATCATTGTGAAGACCATGACAGCTAATTTTTCATTCCAAATAAAATCTCAATAAATACAATCTAATTATACTTGACCCCATCTTCACACTATGCAGCTGCAAGCAGTACCAAAGCTGTTATACATGTGTAGTAACCAATGCCCAAAGACGTCATCGCATTGACAAAAAACAAACTTGAAAAACCACAAAACTGACATTAAAAAGCAATAAAGTTAACATTTACTAGAACAAAATGATGCTCCTCATTGACAAATTTACCTGCATCTTCAGCCCATCCAGTGTTATATCTTACAGTTTGTTCTCCTTCATCTCGGGCTAGAAACTGCCACTGTCAATATAGACATTAAACTCGTAAAATAAAACTGTAAACAAAACAAAATATAATTTATTTTTAATAACATAAAAACTTAAAATTAACTCTTTCAGGACCCCATTTTTCTGGGGTTTGGATAGCATTAATTTTGAGCAGATTTTTTTTTTTTTTACTGCAACACGACAAAGCTAAAACTTTCCTGAAGAAAAAGTATTGGCTGTATCAGGACATATATCAAATGAAAGATAAATTAGTGCAGAATAAATTTAAACTATTTAAGTGTCAGTATTACACATTTTTTTATTAAAATTGCACAACATTCAAGGATGTTGGACACATATGAAGATTAATTACATAAAAAATGTTGTGCTTACCTTACTTTTTTTACTTGTTCAATAACACTGCTATTAAGAACAAACAGCTGACCGCTCGTCTGCCACTAGTGTTAATTTACTATCTGAATCACTTTCCCCCAAAAAATTTCATTATTAGAAAACATCTGACTGAAATTGTTTCAGTCTTTCGGGCTGTATTTGTGTTCAGAACATTAGTAACCATGGCCACTTGATCACAAAATAAGAAAATGCACTGTCCGAAAATCACACTAGCAATGAATCAAATCAGTCTGCGCTCATATGCATGTGCAAAGACATTTCTTTACATAGAAAAAACTTTAGAGTAACCTTCCCTGATACTTTAATGGTAGTTCTGAACATTATAAACAAAAATAGAGCAGTATGTGAATCAATATGTACGGGACACATGATCGACACAGTGTTGTTTCGGCAAATCAAAATTTCTCAATCAACACAAACAGCGTTGCTCGGACCTCGGACAGTTAAATATTCTTCATTTAATAAAATGCTGCATTTGCTTGAGCTGTTCTACATTTAACTTCTTTTATGCACCTTTCATCTAATGTTTTCAGGGTACCCAAGTATTTAAACATATCAACTTGCTTGAGGTTTGTCTCATTTACTTTGATGCTGCATTTTGGAGGGTTA